TTTATGTACCCTGACTAATTCCTGCTTCCATTGGCAGTGTCCCAGTTATAACTGCTATTTCTATGGTGCTTCTAGAGTACCCCTTTTCAGGTCCTGCCCAGTTGTTCTGGTTTTCCCATGTCCTCATTCAGGATCTGTACCAATTCTACTGATAAGAATCTTATTTCTCCTTGGACTTGCCCTGCTTCCCAGAGGAGTTAGGTATGCTTCTCCATCAGCTATATTACCAATAACAGTCCTATTTTCTGCTCCTTGTCCAATATCCTACCTTTACCTTTTCTATATTTCATCTTCCATTTTTCATATATTTAATTCAGATGTAAAAGTTATGTAATATACTTCCAAATATTACAGACAGGAAGTTTTCACATTTATACATTTATACATTTATACCATTCATAGATACATGCTGTATATGTTCCCTCATCTAGCTCTTGACACAGGTGTATGTGTCTCCTCACTTCTACAGTATCTGTGAGTTTCATGGCCTTTTCTCTATTCATCTACCCAGTGCACCCCAGATGTAAGAAAATGGCATTATCTCAGTTTTACCCAATATGGAGCAATAAGGGTGCAGATGGGGTTACAGAGATTCTTCACGGAATAGGGAATTTCTGCCTCCTAATTCACGCTCTCTGTTGCTTTAGTGCTTCCCCACTGGAATGAATAAACTCCTTAGCTCTTGGGGAAAAAGAAATAAAAGAATCAATAATAAGGGAGGAAACATTGAGCTTTTGGGAAAATGCAGAAAGCAGTTTAAGTCCTAAGTGAGTTTGGAATGGTCTTTTTTTTATTCTGCAGATGAAACCAAATCCCTTTTGTTCCTTTTGCATTTCTTCTATAGCGGGGTGGAGATGGGAGGGACAGGGAAGAGTGAGAGCAGGAATTGAGATAAGATTGTAAATTAAAAGAGAGTGGTGCAAGGCATAGTGCAATCAGGAGCCTGAATAAAATAGTAGCTTTCAGAAGACTTCATCTAGCTAGTTTTACTCCAGCCTGCTGAAAAACAAGTGCCTAAAGGTTCAGGCTCTCTCCTGAACCTCCACTCCAAATACCCGTGCAATGCAGCTGAGTAGCTTGCCTAAGAAACATATCTGAACATTTCTGGTTTAATTTGGAACTGAATTATTGTGCCTAGCCCTTGGAAACCAAATTTTTAGGAGATTTTAGTTTTCCACCTGTTGACAGTAGTTATAAGTCTTTCGAGATGCTCTTGTGTTTTGAAGTTCTACCTTGCCATATTAGGAGGAACTCAGGAATTTACTTCTGCCTTTGTTGGAACAGATGATTTTGGAAAATCATGGGGGTAGCTTGTACTTGTCCATACTACCCATCCAGGTAAGGACTTTGTAAATGGTGAGACTGGATGCTGGTCATTTGAACAGATGGATGCTCTTGCCAATGGAGCTTTATAAGATAAACACTGAATGAGAGTATCAGCTCCTCTCTGTTAAAAATATCTTACTGACCTGATAACACTGAAAAGAGCACATGTAGGAGAATAAGGAAATACAGCAAGAAGATTTAGGTTAAACATCAGGAGAAAAACCTCACTTTTTAATGGGAAGGATATATAGGCACTGGAATAGATTGCTTGTGGTGACCACACTCTCTGTCAGTGTAGGGACAGGTTAGAGAAACATCTGCCACAAATGGCTGTGACAAGCCTTAGCTTCCCTTGGGAGGAGAGAAAAGCCTCTGTTAAGAATTAGTTTCAAGGAACTAATGTGATGCACCTTTCATTAAAGATGCGCATTAACATACTGCAGAACTCTTTTATTCTGGCTGCATTATACCGCGGTTAAGGCAGTTTGCCAGCTGGCTGGAAGGCTTTCAGAAGGCTCCTACTTGTTTTCCCCTTGCATAGGCAATCTTGCCTTTTGTCTGCATGGGATAACTTATACGCTTAGACAAACAAATAGCATATGTGATTACCTTTCTGTTCTACAATAATTCTCCCTTTCTTTCTTTGCAAATGTGTTGGACTTCTACTTCCAGTCTTGTTATCCAAAATAGGATCTTATATTTAAGATCCTATTTATAAAAGTTAGCTACTCCCCTCCCTCAACACCTCCAAATTCACCTCCAAGCCAAAGTGACTTTACTTTCTTGACAAGATCAGATAGAGCAAGGGGCAGTTAAGGTGAAATTCTGTTGCTTAGGTGCTGTGTCCTGGCATAAAGTAACATTACATAGGGATTGGAGAATATGATTAGAAAGGAGTTTTAATAAATGCCTAGTATCTTTACTTTTACTGATTCTGTGACCTTTCAGGGCTCCTAGTGGGAGTTTGGATGACTGGACTGATTGGAGAACACCCAACAGATCTTGAAACTGCAGGGTGACCAATATGAAGGATGGCTGAGATAGTTTATTTTTCCTCTTTTTGCTGAGGAAAGCACTCATCAGAATCCAAGTAATAACAGTTCATAGGCTGTTAATACAAAGTACCCTGAGACTTCAGAAATGCCTTGCTCTGCTCTGCACAGCTTGGTAGGTTATATTCTTTAGGCATAGCCATCTTTACCTGGACAAATACGTGACATTTAATTCTGCTAACTTCTGTCCCTGCAGTGAATTGCTCCTTCCCTCTTATGTTAGATTATCTACCATACGATACACATTTGTGTATTCTTTATCTTGCATTGTCTCCATCCTCTGTATATGTGGTGTTTCTCATTGCCCACGTGTTGCTTATGCCCATCCTTCTTTAACTATGTGCAAATATATTTGACCTTTGCATGCATAAGCATGTAAAGAAATCTGTCCTCTTTTAATTCACTATGATTTTTCTGATTTTTCTTATTCATATCTGTACATGTATGGAGTTATATGGCATGTCTGATTGCTCAGGTTAGCAATAAAATGTAACATTTGCACATATTTTCGAGACAATCTATAGTTGATTTGGAGATTTAGGTCAGAACATTTACTTACCTCCTGTTTTCTTCCTCTTTGGACAATTTAGAATGATTTTACTGGGATAATAAGGAATGGATGTGTAGTACTGTATTTGCAGGTGAGGTGATTTAGTGCACAGAAGACTGTGGCAATGCTGTCATTGTTATCCTAATTTCATAATGTTTCGATGTAGTACAACACTGTGAGACATGTCTGGCACACAGCCTTATGAACTCCCCTTTCTGTCCCAGAGAACTTATGGGTAATTATGGGTTGGGTTTGCCTATCTGATCTAATTTATCACGTAGGGGGTTATATCATGCCTGTTGCTGAGATACCCTAAGCGCTGCTGAGATTCTGCGAGATGTCTCTTTCATCAGCCACTTATTTCTATGATAAATTAATGTTACTGAGCTGAAAACTGGGCTGTTCTGTGCAGCATCTTAATCACTGGTCCCTGCTGAGCCCTGTGTGGCAGTTACTACTTTTGGGGATTTGAGCTCAGATACTTGAGAGCTAAAGTAGCACTGCAGAAATCTCTGGCTCAGATGAGGATAAATTGACCTGCTTGGTGAATGAGTGGGAAGTCCAGGGCTGAGCACACTCTCGGATAAGCATATGAGTCTATGCTCCCTTAGAAATTCACTTTCCACATCCAGGCTTAGATATTAGCATGAGTACAGAGCATCTCCATTGGTGGAGGGGACATTATGGGCAAGCTCTCCTTAGCATTCTTTGCCTTTGAAAAGGCAAGACCAGCTGCCCATCTTTTTACAATCTTCCTGTTTTGTGCTCACTGGGGTGCTGTGTTCACCCTGCACAGAGAGGGTGGTTGTGGAAACTGCTGTTTCTGGGTGATTCCTTCTTTCTTCCCCCTCCACAAGCCCTCAGAGTGGATTTTTCTTTCATGGCCAGATGAAGTGTTTGTTTGTTTTGAAGGTGACAAGTGTTTTATGTGAATTCTAGATACTCTCAAATGCCAAACCCCAGCTGGGCTTTGAGTTTCACAGATTATCCACTGACACCTAATGGGCCTTTAATAAATGTTTCTCCCTCCCATTCTGTCATTTCAATAAATAAATGGCTGAAATTTGGAGGTGGTGGGAGGGGTGTTGTATTGGAGTGGAATTAAGCTTTTCTGTTTAACCACCAAGCAGGTACACCACTGAGAGCAGTCATGCAAGCTTCCCACACACCCACACTGCCTCTGCCATCAAGTCAGCATGTCTCAGTCCTGGCCTGGAGGACTTGCTTTGAGGATCATGCAGGAAAGCTTCTTCTAAAGCCCAGTTAGCTTCTTCACCCTCTCAGCTTTGGTTGCCAGCCAAGGTGCTAATTACTGTCAACTGTGATGGTGGGAGGGGGAATTGAGAACAAAGGCGAGACTTTGATAGTTGAAAGTACAGTTGATGTTCAAGTATTCTCTTTTCCCAGATTTTTTTTTGCAAGAAATGGTCTGCCTGGTCAGTCGGTGAGCTTGCATGTATTGTCTCTTTAAGGACTGCAGTGGCTCCTAAACAGCTTTCATTCTTAGCAGTAGATATAAGATAATTGAGTCCCACCTCCTTTTTTGACTACTGAAGATATGATCTCTATTCACTTAGGTAATGGAAAATTAAATGTTCTGAAATTGCAATAGAAATTTATGGAAGTTATGAGAATTAGAGAAAAATAGCAAGATTTAAAAAACATCATAGATACTCTTTGGTATTCATTTTCATGCATCAGAAGCATAAAACAATTACTTTTTTCCAGCTAAGGTATGTAACCAATTAATTGTGTTCCTGTTGTTTGGCTGAAAATGTTGAAAGACATAAGCCTGTGTAACCACAATTACAGTATTCCTGTGGTAATCCACTCACTCTCCCAGAAGGTGAGACCATCGCAGAGATGAGACAGCTCAGAGATATTTCTTGTTCTGCGCTTCCCCTTTGAATCCACTCACTCAGAGCCTTCTCCCCAGAAATGTTTCCATCTTACATGAGTCATGAGTTTGGGTACTCCAGAATGGTCCTCTTCCCTAGTCCTGCAATAGCTGTGGTTGATGCAAAGGGATGGGACAATGAGAAGTCTATCTTCTGTGGTTTGTGTCTCCACAGGTGGGGAAATGGAAGGAAAAAAAGTTGCAGATGAAGTATTACGTGTGGCCACGCTTTGAACTGTATCCTGACTCTGAGGAACGCGAGGATGATCACCTGAGTATCGTGACCTTGGAAGAGGCACCATTTGTCATTGTGGAGAATGTGGACCCCCTAAGTGGCACCTGCATGAGGAACACGGTCCCTTGCCAGAAACGCATCGTGACAGAGTATGTTCCCCTGTATTCTTCTGCTCATCTGGGGCTCTTTGTTCTCAGCAGAATGTAAAGTGTCTGTTGGGCCAATACCATCATAATCTATAATCCTTTTCAGAAAATCACCTCCATTTGCCCAGCCTGTCCCATGTCCACTTATGATGGGTTCCTTTAGGCAAATCATTGCAGTATGTCACTTCCCCTCCAGCACGGATAGCACAATATAAATTGTCCACATTATATACTGGGAGGGAGAATGCAAACTGATAACAGAGGGGAATTACAGGTGTTTCTCCCAGTCCTTTAACCCATTATTATTGTGATTGTTCAGGAATAAAACAGATGAGGAGCCAGATTACATGAAGAAATGTTGCAAGGGGTTCTGCATAGACATCCTCAAGAAAATCTCAAAGTCTGTCAAGTTTACCTATGACCTCTACTTGGTGACTAATGGCAAGCATGGAAAAAAGATCAATGGGACATGGAATGGAATGATTGGAGAGGTCAGCAGCAAAGAGAGGGCTTGGTGGGCTTCAACCCTGGGCTGGGTGATGTGGGTCAGGTCTAGTCTGCCATCATTATTTGGTCTACTTCTGAAGCAAGAACAGAGGTGACTCCAGAAGTGACTGACCTGATTCTTTCTTGGCACTGAGTGAATTAATCTGCTCTGACACTCCGACCATGACAACCTTTCTTGTCTGATCATTAATTTTTACTCTCTATGGTCTCACAAATTTGGCCTACACAGTCTTAGAAAGAGGCAGATATCCATTCACCATGGTTGCTGCAACCTAGATTATGCTTAGGTTGTATATAAGGTGAATAAAGAATGAAATAAGACTTTGCAGTGTTAGAGGGAGGATAAAGCAAGGACAGAAAAATGAGATAAGGCGTCTTCTCTGTGGATGATGTGTTTATCCTAAGACCTCTGTGGATTTATTTTTTGTACACATACCAGCTTTGAGGAGAAGATTAATGTCTATAGGTTTTCTGAAAGAAGAAAGTGTCCTGATGAAAGATTAGAAAGGAGAGATTTTACAAACAATATAGGGAATGGGATTACAGGAGTAAAAGGATTGTGTTGGGAGACAGGAAGATGAGAACGGGCTTGACTGTGGTGCTTGAGGGCTGCCTCGTATCTGTGTGTGATCTCTTCTTTTCTTCCTCCAGGTTGTCACCAAACGGGCCTATATGGCTGTGGGATCCCTCACCATTAATGAGGAACGTTCAGAAGTGGTGGATTTCTCTGTGCCCTTCATTGAGACGGGAATCAGTGTCATGGTGTCACGTAGCAATGGAACGGTCTCACCTTCTGCCTTCTTAGGTATTGTTTCAATCTAAAATTAAAACTTCATCCAGCGATTATAAAAAAAAATTAGGTGAAGGTTGCTTGTGATTCTTGGCCTGAAAGCTCTTTTTTGGGAGTACCTGTGGGACAGGTGTATAAAAATATACTGTGATGTTTTAGAACTGAATCGCAGGCAAGCAAAATCCAGGCAAATGCAAATGCAAATAGGCACTGCCTATGAGTTTCAAGCCAAGGCATTTTTCAGCAATTGTATGCCTAATCCTAGAAAAATTGGGCTCACTCAGAGTTGTCACATACACTGCAGCATGTGGTTTCCTAGTGACTCAACTAATAGTATGTTCAAGGAGTGTAGGCCAGAAGAAAATTGATTCAAACCTTATAGCTGGGATACCGTAATACTTAGTGATAGCAATTGGCAATAAATTGTTGCACATTGAGAGACATTATTTGTAAAGATGTTGTTAACTTGGCCCTCCCTTGACACCTAGTAGAAATTAGAGAACTAATAGAGCTTTTCAAGAACAGTTGAGCCATCGGTTTTGTGCTGACACTGTGTCTTACAATAAAGGCATTTCTAATGTCCTTCAGCAATGGAGGGTGATCAGAGAATACGGAAATGATATTGCATTTCCCCGAGACATTTGTGTCTTCCTAGCGTCTACTATTTGGCTTTATAAAATGCTTTATGATGCCGCAAACACAGTATATGCGTTATGTAATTACTGTCTGCTCTCTGCCAGAGTCCTGAGAACATTCACAGACAGAAAGACTTTTTTATGGGTAATGAAATTTCCCCAGACCTTTTTAAATATGAGTTTCATGGCTATTAACTCTTCAGGATTTTTTTCCCTTAGCAAGTCCACCAATATTGCTGGGGTATGTAAAAGCAACACTGAAGTCATCTCCAAAATTCTAAGCTGCAATTTAACTGAAGTTGCAATATTAGCAAAGGAGCAAAGTTCTTTGTTTCTTTTATCTGGTTCAGTCCTATCTTTTTCTGTTCAGGCTGGGAGAAGGAGAAAACTTGGTAGAGATCAAATACTTGCAGAACCTGAACACTAACATTTCTAGAATGAGCCAGTGTTCCCATTGCAAGAGGGATGGAATACTAAAAAACCTACTGTCATTATGGCTGAACCTTAGAAATTTGGAGATGCTCTTTGGCTTGATAATATCTTGAAAGTTGGATGCTTGTCTGGAACTCTGCCAGTTCTGCCTGATTTTCCCCACTCTCTCCAGATGGTGCTGGAGGACTTCCTGGGAACAATCTTTTATCAATGTGTTTTATTTTATCAATGCATTCCACAATGGCTATGTGTGGTTCCAGATGGAGCCATGTGTCACAAATGTAACAGTACGATGGAATGCAGTCATTACAGAGACAGAAACTTCAATTTTTCCAGTTCAAGAAGTTTTTCAGAATCAGGTTGGAGACTTTGTTTTAACTTCTGTTTTTCCCCAGCCCAGTTTGCCCCACACTGAGCTTCTCTGGAGAGCAAAGGAGGTGAGGTGTTATCACATTTCACCATGGTTTTCTCTTCCTCTCCAGAACCTTTCAGTGCTGACGTATGGGTGATGATGTTTGTGATGCTGCTTATCATCTCTGCGGTGGCTGTCTTTGTCTTTGAGTACTTCAGCCCTGTGGGCTATAATCGGTGCCTTGCTGATGGCAGAGGTAAGAGGAGCTGTTTCTTGCTATGATCCCCTCTGGTTTCCAGTCTCTGTTTTTTTGTTGGGGTGTTCTTTGCCTTGAAAGCGATACGGATCTAGCCCACTCTGAGCTCTGCATTCAGGCTGAAGAGGCCAGGGATGGAGGCGGAAAAAAGGCTGTGAAGAGAGCAGATGTGTATAATGGATAATTTGCTTGGCATGAGAGACGGGGCTGTGTCGCCTTTCATGTCTAAAGCACATACCAGCTCCAACCTGTTTCTCATTGAAAGAAAATGGGCCCCAGTAGCCAGTGCTGGCAGGGCCTACAATGCTGCACTCTGAGGCAATCACAGGGCTCAGCACTGTCAATCCATCCTTCAGTGCTACATCTCCCTGCAGAGCAAGCCACTCTGCTGGCCTCCTGGCATAGTGCTATGTCCTCCAGAATCCACATCTGTCACCTGGTCAGGTCCTTCCATGCCTTTCTGGCTTTCTAAGACCAACTGAGAGATTGGGAAACTCATTTTCTTGGGAGTGGGTAAAGAATTATTTTTCAAGGGTAGCAGAAAAGTTGGGACCAAGCAAGTTATCAATTTCTTTGGTTCTGATCTTCAGAAGGCAGCCAGATGAATTAAAGAAAGGCTGTCTGTCCTTCCTAAGATACAGCCTTTTTCCTCTTATTGACATGAAAACAATTAGCAAGTTGAGTCTTCTGTCATCTGCATATCTTCACCACCCAGTGAATCAGCCCTTCAAACCTTTCTGGATTTATTGGTTCATACAGAATAGTGGGAGAGAGACAGATACTGGAAAATGCACTCATTTGCTCCCAAGTCTAGTACTTTGAGTGAATTTATGCCATCAAATTAGAGAGGAGTGAAAATAAAAAGTGTTAATGAGAATGCAGGCAGAACCACATACACAAGGAAGTGGAGAACTTGTCTCTTAATATAGAGCTATGGAGGGCCTTTATGGCACCTGATCATAATTGCATGGATCTGTGGGCACAAGTACTGAGAAACCCGAGTCTCTTAGGAGGTATTAATACAGATGTGGAACTGGAAGCAGTATTTAGTACAGGCATGTTAAGTTAGCCCAACTGCAGCTACAAGTATCAATATTTTTGAGTAATTATGAAGAGTATTGCATGATCAGATGGGTATTATCCATGAGAGATGAAATATGAAGATACAGAAATCTGCTGCAGAGACTGCAATGCTGATTTTGGCTAATGTTACTTTGGCTGCATTTGAACTATGACAGTACACCCCTGTCAATATATCTCAAACACCTGCATTTTCTCTTTATGGACATCAAGACTTTTGAATTGGAATCTCCCATTACAATCTTGGTTTGTGTCTGACAAAGTAATTCTGGAAGCATGTGAGGTGATCAGTGGAGAGAGGAAGGCTTTTAGAGGGGAACTTCTCAAGATTTCCTTCCACCGTACAATTCCCACTGATGTTTTTCAGGCCTTTCACCTGTTTATCTTAGGGCACATTAGTTAGGGAGGGATGTAAAAATACCACTCCAGTGTGTAAAAAGACAAAGACTGCCAAACTATGTTTCTCTTAGGAACTTTATCTCCTTGGAATTTAATGCACCAGTTTTATCAGGTGATGATTCTGCTCCAAACTTGGCGTGCAGTTCCCTGGGTAAAAAATGAGCCACTTGCATTGTTCAGCTGTATTTAGGGTAACACGGTTAGTGTTTCCAGATGATTGATGCTATTTGTTGCTAAGTGGTTTGGAGAGGCATGTCAAAACTTTCTTCCCTTTTGCTATTTGCTGGAGTCAATCTTAACTGTAGGCAGCAGCACTAGGACCCAATCAGCCTGCCTGAGGAGATGAAGCATGGGATGCTGATCAGGTTGGCACCATTGCAGAAAGGTCAGATGCTCGAACTGTTCCATTCATCCTTAAGAGGATCTTCTCAGTGTTCAAAGAGTGATCACATCGGCATTCTCCCTCTTAGCTCTTCTTGTGCTCAAGTTGAGGAAATTCTGGGTTAGGTTCCCACTAATGGAACCAGCACGTGCTGAGGGTACAAGATTGCTGGGAGAGAGGTGCCATTTCACATGTTTTCAAATCTAGTGCTTCATTAACACACGTGGCTTCTGGGGTGTGAGTGAGCTTCTACACTGAAAAGTGAATAAGGGGAAAATAGGAGCTTTTAAAACACTGGGTCTGCTCCTGGGCTATCTAGGGCAGACCTGCAGATTTTCTTAAGGTGGAACAAGTATGTGTCACCTTATGTGACACATACTTATGTACCTTAGACACAAAATATGGAGAGAGGAAGCTGTGTTCTTCTCTGGTTTGTGGATCTTCAACAGACTGAATAATGAGACATTCATGCAAAAGTATTTGTAGAGCCCTGATATTTCAGATGGTACTCTTCATCATACCTTTACAAGTACAGTAAAGACAGCCATGTTCTACACATATGTATGCTGGGACCTTGAGGACGTCACTCCAAAATTAAATGTTTGGTCTATTAGATATTTCAATCAAATTTTTAAAAAATGCCCTCATATAAGGTTTCAGTGTAAATCCCTGAGATAGGCAAAATACAGAAACATGAAGGCATTAAAAAAAAAAATCAGGTTGTACTTAGCTGAGACATGGTAGCATAAATTTAGGGGAGTGCAGCTGCAGATGTTGACCTCACAAGTGGGAATGGATTCTGCTCTTAACTCTGAAATCAAGATGTGTATGTGACTGGAAATGCAGACTACTTAATCTCAGATGCTCACTGTGGGATCATGTTTCTCAATCACTCTAGAACCAGGAGGTCCCTCTTTCACCATTGGCAAAGCTATCTGGCTGCTGTGGGGGCTGGTGTTCAACAACTCTGTGCCAGTACAGAATCCCAAGGGTACCACTAGCAAGATCATGGTGTCGGTGTGGGCCTTCTTCGCTGTCATCTTTCTGGCCAGCTACACTGCCAACCTGGCTGCCTTCATGATCCAAGAGGAATATGTGGACCAGGTGTCTGGCTTGAGCGACAAAAAGGTAATGTATCCACTCAAACCCTCAAAGCAGCCTTTTCCACAGAATAGGCTGCTCTACCCTCTCTTCTTTCCTTTCACAAGGAAAGTGGGCAGGTGTTTCCAGAGTCACACCATCATAGCTTTAGACCCTAGTTTAAATAGCACAACTGTTCTTCATTGGTATTCAGTTGCACTTTTACATGTGTTAAGCATTTCAGGAATGAATTATAGACAGAACTGAACTGTGCTTGCTTGCATGATCCCAAACCACACCTTGACTGTCAGCAAAAAACAAATTAATGGAGCTTTGGAGACAATGTGTATAATGGCTGTAACCTGTTTTTTTCAGAATTAAATAATTTGTCTTGGGTAGGAATGCTGGCCATTAGGCTAGTAAATGTGATCTGTTAATTTATTCTGAAAACAAGTTCTGTCCATGGGGGTAAATCACTGTGCCTTTGATGATTTACTATTGCTTGCATTTGAAGTTATACTGTTGTTTTTTCAAGGTGTGTGGAGGCTTACCACAAGAAATCATTTTGTGTTCAGACTGCATTTCAATGACTTGTTTATCTGCACAGCATTTTGTCCATGCAGAGCATTCGATTTTACTGGACTCTGAATGCTTGAGGATTTTGAGAAGATTGCTGATATATGTGGGGTAGGACTGTTTGGCTCGTGAGGGTGTAATGCTTTGTGCACTGCTTTGCTTTTGTTTTGTGGTGAGGCTACTCACAAGGAATTGAGAATTGTGAGGCTCAATTGCCCATGCTGAGCTTGTTACTCAGTCACTGGGGCTGCTTAAGGGGTTGTGCCATTGCAGGGCAGCCAAATAGCATCGGGTTGTACACATTGCTATTGGGGATAGCAGCAAGAGGAGGACTACAAATGTCAGGTGTGGATGATGGTTTGGTTATAGTTACTGACTCTTGTGTCCGTCATGATAGTCTAGAAATAATTTGTGGCTAGGCCTCCTGTGTATATGGTATCCTGTTCAGCAGGCTGGAAATTCTGTGATGGATTAATCATAGAGTTTTTATTACTCATTTTGTTGTTTGGTTTCTGTTTCTTTTTCATGGAATGAAACATGGCAGAGAATAATACAATCCATGCAGAAGTACTTCTGTTATTTGTTTTAATTTTGATCTCAATTTATTTCACACTGTCTCTTCATTTGCAATGTGCTGTGTTGAGGATGGGGTGGAGGGGAAGATGCTTTTCTGTCAGGTGGAGATTGTTACAGAGACTCTTAAGAAGCTGTGAGCTCCTTCGGATTGAAAGATACTGTTCAAAACCAGCCAGCTCTATCAGAGGTAACATTAGTTTGTCATCATTAGGTTTTAAATTGTCTGGGCTAAATGGGATAGTTTATACCTGTGATCTACTGTCTCAGGCTGTGCCTAGGCTCATGGAGAGAACATGCTTTCATTCTCATGTTTTTCAAGATATTCTTCATACCTGCAGAGATATGTGCATGAAATATTATTTGAAAGCAGTGGCTCCTGGAGCTTCACAGAGCCTTTGAATACAAATTTCTGGGCCTGTTTTAGATGATTTCACTGTAGGGCCACCTGTGTGTATTGGATTGAGGCCATTTTCTTCTACTTTTCTCTGCCAACGTACCTGTATTTACTTTTGCTATGCTAAAACATATGTCCTTTTTTCCTTCAGGAACAGAAAGGCTATAGTACATAGAGGATTGTGGTATGCCTCAAACGTAGCTGCTAGTGCAAGTACAATATTTGGGTAAGATTGCAATCTACCAGAGCATCTGGAGTCAAATGAAAATTGGCTGGTGAAACTGAAGGCTAACAGCTGCCTTTGGGCAATAAAGGCAGGTGGGACTAACTCCATCCAGAATAAGTGAGTGAATGAGCTTGATCTATCGGACTTATGGATTTTACCTTCTGAATATGCAAAGGGCCCTGTAGGATATGGGAGCAGTCATCCAGACATTTGTTACACTGCTTCAAGATCCCCTGATCTGGGAGGAATTCACTCTTCTGGATCTCATCTTTTCCCTTTTCCAAAAGGAACACTGCTTGCAACTCACTCACTCTCTCAATGCACTGCTTGCCAGGTGAAGGGGACAGCCACATCCAGGGCACATGGAGGTGCACTGTGCTCTACCTCACTTCTCTTGCTTGTTTAAAGCTAGTTCAGACTTTCAAAAGAGGCAGTCACTGTTCAAAGCCAGGTGGGAAAGACTGTTTTCCAAGAGGAAAAACTGTTGCTTCCAATTTCTTTTATCCTAAATGTATGATCTGGTGTCCACAGCAAAAGTCAGGCAGATTGGTCTCCTGGCCTTCTCCATCAGGTGGTAAGGGCACCTGTGTCCACCACAAGGACTCAGGAGATTATGTAATCCAAGCCAATTGGTAAAGTGACAGTAACAAAAGGATACTGTTCGTACTTGCCTAGACTCAGATCTGCTTGCAAATGTCTGTAGTTCAACAGTACCTGGGGAAGGTGTCCCATTGACACTGTAGAGCAGCCAAAATGCCAGATGCACTCAAAAAATCCTTTCCTGTGCCTGGCTGGGGTGCACTTGCCAAGGTCAGACTGGCTACACTCTGCAACAGCAACCCTGAGCGTCTCCTTGGACCCTCTTCCTTAGGTTTTGCCTGGGAAGAATCACTGCAAGAGACACCTACAGCTGCTGGCATGCCACTTCCCCAGAAAAGCAGACTGAAATGCTCCAGATGTCTCAGGATGGTGGATGTCTTGGCTATGCCCCAGCATTTACTTCCTAATGACATGCAAGACAATGACTAATGTCATGTCCCCACTGTGTTTCTGTGGACGCTTGAGCACGTCTGTCTGAGCTGGGCTGGAGTGGATGCCTCTGTCGCAGGGGCCAGGTGGAACTGAGGGTGTCTGGAGAACCCCTGTATGAACATAGGGACCTCTGCCACTCTCTCTCTGTCCCAGGTGATGCTCACCTTACTGAATGCCACTCTTTGAGCACAGTGGGCTCAAAACAGGTGCCAGAGCTGATGCAGGAACCCACCTTACGATGGCTTTTAATTCCCCCATGTTAACCTTTGGAGCTGCTAAATCGTACATCCAGCTTTAGCTCTTGACTCTGGGGCGGCCATGGGCAGTTTGAGGGAGGAGAAACCTGCTCCTGCCTGAGAGCAGCACTGGCCTTGTCAGTTCTGCAGGAAAACTCCTGCTGCTGACAGCATCTCCTTTGCAGCTCCCTGTGCTTGTGGCATGCTGAACCATTTCCTTCCTGCGCAGGTGCCAAAGCAGCACCCTCTGCCCCCACTGGTCCACCTTGTGCAGCAGAGGGCCTGGAGGCAGTCCTGGTAGGGACAGTGCCACATTTGCACGTGCTGCTGGGCTGCATCCATCCAGGATCCATGTGGGGGGCTGCTGCTGCCCCAATGCCTGCGAAAGCCCCTGTGGTAAGAGGGCCTGTCGCAGAATATGCAGTCAGCTCCCGGGTCTGGATTTCATCTGAGTGTAATCGGAAGATATAACCCAATTTCCATTAGTGGGAGAGCTTCAGACACATTAGAGAAACAAGCGCCTGCGGTATTTCAGTCTAACGAAGGCAATAAATACAGGAAAGATTATATAAAATGAACTAATGTGTGAAGTAATCTAATAGCTATACGTAATTTCCATTCATATAAAAGTAGTAATAGAATAAAAGCAAATGTGGACAGTCAGCAGGGCATTTAAATAAATTGATTTAGAAGGCAGTAGGTTAATAATAATAAAAAAATAGTATCCTTTCCTATAAATTAGTTGGAAATGCCAAAGAAGTTAATAAAGTATCAAAATAGTAATTTGTAATTGACATGAAAAGGAGAGAAATTGATTTCAGCATGCCTGCAAATTAATACAGATTGCTGAAATTTCACACATATTTGACTTATTTGCTTTTTAAGATGTTAATGCAATGTTGATACAAATGCAGCACGGGTCAGTTATTTTTCCAATAGATATGAGTTTATTTCTTTTTTTGAAAGGTAGGTTTTGAAGTTAAAACTGCCCAGTATTTTTATGAAAAAGAACAAACTTGAGGAGAATATAAGAAGGCAGAAGGAATTTCTGATATTTTCCAAAATAGCTCATTTTAGTATACTTTATACAAAATACTTTGCTATTTCTGACATGTATTTTGACACGTCATTTTCTAAAGGCACTACACATAAAAGTGACCTACATTTAAGGGTGAAAAAAGTGGAAAAAAGATATTTTTTTTTCTGTAACAAAGGAAGGGGACAGACAGAGATAACTGGAAGACAAAACAACATAGGTAGATCTGAGATGAATGGAACATTTCAGGTTGATACAAAACAAAAGCCTCACTGAAAAAAGTACAGAAAGAAATGGATCTGCTCTTTTCTGGCAGTAATAGATGCTTGACTGTGAAACTGAAAGATGAATTATTTCCCACATTGTACTTTGCAGCACATTAAATCAGAATTATACAAGGATCCCATATATGCAGAAGACTTAAGTGTGTGTTTAACTTTGTGCTCATGAGCGGTGACATAGAGTCAACGGGCTATTTTTTACATGATTGCAGTTAAATGCTTCCCTGATCTTGCAGCTTTTGTACAAAAAATACCTGCTCTGGAGAAGTCCAGAGAAAATGCAGAGCAGATACCTTCAGCTAGACATTTTTCAAGTGGACTAAAAGTGAGATTCAGTCTTGTGCCTTGTGAGCTCTACAAGGAGAAGATTGTCTAACTAGATGGCTTGGAGGCAGTACAAATCTTCCCTGGGATTAAATAGTGTTAACTGACATTTGTGGTACTTCCATACATTTCAGCAGAATACAAAGAAAGTTTTATGTGGCAGTGTCCAAAGGCAGAAAGTACACCATCTTTCAACAGCAGTATGACTTTTATTGTCAGGACACCTTTGTGGAGATATGAGTTAGGCAGACAGAAGAAGGACCATACCACTTCCAATCCTGTCCTCCTGTGATAAATCATAACCTCTTCCAGAATGTGTAAATCTGATGCACCTTACTTGACACTAAAAACGTCCCCAAAATAAAGA